CCAGCCACTCAACCAGGCCCAGCCAAGTTGACACACAAACTTAGCTACCACAACAAATATTCTCACACTTACTTTATTAATGATGTTTTACTCATTGTATATTCATATTTTAAAAGTTATATATACCTTATTGAATTGAGAAAGTCAACATTAAAATTATATTTTACTGTTGTTGGATCTGCATTTTACCCTTCAGGATTTCACCTGGGTGATTCCACCCTCATTCCTTTTGAAAGCCTTATCTTGTTTAACTTCATTGATGTGCACAAACATTTCTGCTTGCACACATGGTTTGTTCTGCCTTCTTCATTAGATGTTTTAGTTAGACATTAAACAGACCCTGCAAAATAGGAAAATTTAAATATTTATGTATTCTACACATCCTTCTTGACCTAATGGCATGTGAAAATACATGAAACATGTGCTGTTTTGTCTCTCTCTCTCTGTCCTTTGCTTTCTATGTAAATTAAGCCTATTTTTGTTCAAGAGAACATTTCCTGAAATGTTTCTTAGTTTTACTATGACCTATTGTCTGATTCATGAATCTTTCTGAAACCAAAAAAAAAAAAATACTCTTTAACATGGAAAATTATTCCAGAAATTCAAAGTAATCTCACATTTATACATTTAGTGTGCAAGCTTTGAAAACTTATTCTAATAATTATGTGAAATACAGTGGGTTAAGAATAATGAAGACATGTTTTAAGGAGCAAACATATTTAAGGGAAAAGAGGCAGTGTTTAAGCAAGACTGGCATACAAATAATAGAATAAATGGTTAATAACAATGGTGAAAAGAAGGATACTGAAAAAAAGAGATCATTATAATGATGTGTAATAATGTGCTTTATTGATAAGAATAATGGGGAATCATGAGATCAGACAGGAAGGATGCAATTGATAATGTGGGCTTAGACATGCTTCCTATTGACATGACACTAGGCCTTAAAATTGAGAAATAAAAGAAGTATGAATTATTTGATAATATTAAGAGAACAGTGTGTAGTTTATTTTAGATATAGAGAATGGAATAAAGCCACAGTGTTTCATAATTTGTTCATATAATTGCATTAGATTTGACATGAAGAGGAAATAAACTTTGGGTAGTTTTATCACATGATCCTGCAGATGTAGGAGTGGTTAAACTATTGGAGAGAATGTGATACCAAGCTAAGATAAAAGTGATGTCATCAAATTGTACTTCAATTTGATCACTGACGGAGAAATTTAAGGCACTCTGAATGTAAAGAGAGAAAATAAAAGATAATCATAGTTAAAGGCCGTTTAAGGTGACACAATGACCCTTAGATTGTACCAGGGCTTCATCTTTGGAAATTTGGGAAATTCAGGGCCATTGACATGCCAAAAAGAGGTGAGAGCATTCAAATGTACCTGCATTGTGGTGGCCACATTGTGTTAATTGCTGAAAATAGTATTTGACATACTGGGTACATCACCTATGTAGACAGGTTTCAGTGGAGATTCTAGATTAAGACAGAACAAGAACAAGCCTTTCTACCCAGCTTTGTGTCCCATTTGATCATCACATCTCAATCCCTAGTGCTTGCCCAGCAGTTTCACAAAGTCCTTCATTGCAAGGGTCTCTTTTGTTTCTAATTACAATTTTGTCTCAAGAGCGCATTTACAAATCTTAGCAACTTAGGAGAAGGCACAAAAGTTTCTCCTGTTTCCCTCTCCTATACCTATTTCCCCAAGCACTGTGCCTAAAACTAATTTCTTTTGTAACCTTATATCTCACCCATAAAAACCCATTTAAATAAATAACATGGGGCCAAGTGACCATTTGGTTTAGTAGAAAGTCTAGAGGATATTCGATTATTTTTGCTTCTGAACACACTTTTACATATATTAGTAGAACTTCTAGTATCTATTGGCTAGCTAAACTGATAGATGAGAGACAAGTATATAGATAGATGCACAGATATATCAATGCATAGATACACAGATAAATAAAAATCTTACATAAATTCAATTCCAACTCCTGCTGTTGTTGTTGTCATGTGCCATAGAGTCGGACCTGACTCATAGTAACCCCTCCTTGTGTTTCCGAGGCAGTATCACTAGTGAAGTAGATTGCCTCATCTTCCTTCCGAGGAGTGGCTGGTGGGTTTGAACCTCCAGCCTTCTGGTGAGCAGTCAAGTGTCTTACCTACCATGCTACCAGAGCTCCCATTCCAACTCCTAGTGACCTTATGCACAACAGAATGGGGCATTGTCAGGTCTTGTGGCATCTTCATGATTGCTGCCATGTACAGGTCCATCATGTGGCTGTTGTACCAATCATTCTCATCAAGGGTCTCTTTTCCCCTCACTGACCCTAATTTAACCAAACATACTGTGCTCCTCTAAATTCTTCCTGACGATGTGTCCTAAGCAAGCATCTTTCTGTGATCCATAAAGTTTTCATTGGCTAATTTCAGAAGTCTTTTTGTCAGTCTTGTTCTTGTTCTGTCTAAATCTAGAAGTTCCACTGAAACCTGTCCACATAGATGATGTAGCCAGTATTTCAAATACTATTGACAGCTGTTAGCATCACAACCATGCGCAAGGGATCGCAGTGTGATGAAATGACAGATTAGTGGTGGTAAATATCTGTTACAGAACTCAGATACTCACTTCCCTTCTTGCCTTAGAATTAAGGTGTAGGCATATATCTTAGATTCTGCATTAGATACTGTGACACAAGGCAATAACTTGTGAATAGGTCACTGAAAAAAGCAAGGCTTGTGCATAGCCACTAAGAAGATTTAGATGAGATAGCAGTAAATTCCTAAATATTCTAGAGATGACAATCATGACTCTGGTGATTTGTTTGGCTCCCATGTGAGTGAACAGTATTGTCTTCACATGACTCATGCTCAGACACATATTGGGGCTTTGCTAGTGATTTTAAGCCTGATTCATCAAAGTTCTTGGGGATTCTCTTTGAATATAATAATTTTCTGATTGAATCGTACTGAACTTATTTCTGTGCTTCCTGTCCAGAACTCTAGTTGATAATCTCAGATTCCCAAATCTATGTTGATTCAGTAGGGATACCTTGCTAGGATGAATACTTGAAGTAAAACAGTGGCATAAGAATTGAGGAAGAGAGAAGATGCTTAAAAAATATCGAACACACAAGATTGAGAAGATTTCATTATTGAGTAGATATTTTAGTGAAAAAAGAAAAGCTTACAATAGCTCCTTATTCACAAATTGACTTACCATTGTGTGTGTGTGCGTGTGTGAAATAGAAGTATTTGTTTCCCCATTAGTATAGTAAGTTAATAAGTGATCAGTGGGTGTTTGGCATTTAGTTATTGATCTAAAGCACAATTGTCTTCTTTCTTCCCCTACAAAGGTGAATATCACATAAGTTATGTGAAACCAGGTGTGTCTTTGATCAGTAACCAAACTATTACCTTTTTCTACAGGTGCACATAGATATTATACAGTTCTTTGTGAGGAGAAATTTTCATTTAAGTGAAGAGATAAGGAAGTCATATTCACTTGTCATTCCGTAAATCCAGCTTTAATTTGTTATTAGTGGATAAAAGTTCACTTTTACTTTGAATGACTTATTTTTACTTGGGTTACTTACTTGGAATTAGTATAAAGATGTATAAATTCATATAATTTCTTCAAAACATAGATCTCTTTATCTGGAAAGTACTGTTTTCCAATTCTAAGATGTCAATCATCCATCACTATACTGACTTGTTTAATATATGACTTGTCTTTTGTGTTCATCTAGCTTTCTCTTTCTACCTATTCTCATAGAATTAATAGCATGTCAGCACTATAATCTGCAGCACAGCAATCTTCACTGAAAGTATATACTTAATACATATATATATATATATATATATATATATATATATATACACACACACACTCTTTGGTGGTGTAGTGGTTAAGACATTTGGCTCCTAACCAAAAATTTGGTGGTTCAAACCCATAAGCTTCTCCATGGAAGAAAGATAAGACAGTTTTCTTCCATAATTATTTACAGCTTTGGAAAATCAATGGGAGTTGCTGTGAGTCAGAATCTATAAAACAGCAGTGAGTTTTATTTATTTTTTTTTTCTTTTATTTTCTTTTTTGTGGCAGGGTTTATATATAGGAAATAATAGTGTGACTTGTTTAGGCTCAGACTCAACAGGGGTATCAATTTAAAATTCTAGGGCAAAGAATTTGAGTCCTCATTCCAATCCCCCAAAATAATGTCTTGAGAGAATTGCAAGTCCAATGAATAGAGAATAAGATTATGCATAACATAAACTGTCCTTTGTAAGGTATAGCAACTACTTAGGATGCAAAATTTGACTCTTGCAGGGGACTCCATTAGGGAGTGTGTCTGAGACAGCATAATATGTACTCATTAGGCTGTAACTTCCATTAGTCTTCTTGTAAAGTTGTTTGTCCTTCTATAGCTCATTTAGTTTCTCCTCAGGCCTAATTCTAATCCCATTAATAAATCACTTCCCTAGGATTCATCCAGATATATCCAGGACCTCTCTCCTGGAAAAAATAAGTTTTTCATATTTCCTTGAAATGAAATCTCTTCAGAGATTTCATAGATTAATAGAAAAATATTTTTTTTTCTTTTGATTAAAATCAGTCATGCTAAAATATTTCTTATTCTGTTGTTCTAATTTAATCATATTGAGAGACAGAGTAAATTTAACATTGTAGGATCTTTATGGCAAATGAAATCTTCATGTTAAGCAGCCTTTATTTAATTTTCTAAATATTAATAAATCTTATTTTTGAAATTTAAGGGCTATGTATATTTTATATTAATAGAAAAATATTACTTAAACAAATATTCTGACTTTGTAACATGCAATTATTCTGCCAACCTTGAACTTTTAAAACTCTTCTAATATAATTTCAGATCTTATCCTCATACCTCAAATAATATTTTTTTTTCTTAATGATTATTCATTGACGAACAAAAAAACACCCGTAGCTTGAGGACTGATGAAGAAACTTGGTCTAAACTTTCATAGAGCATATTCTCTGAGTAACCCTTCTCAGGGCCCCCATTACCTCCTTGTTCCTCAGGCTGTAGATGATGGGGTTGAGCATGGGGGTTAGGGCAGTGTAGAAAATGGCCAGAACCTTATCTTCTGTTGGAGAACGGAAAGATCTTGGACGTAGATAAGTGTAAGCAAAGGGTGCATAGTAGAAAGTCACCACTGTGAGGTGGGTGCTACACGTTGAATAAGCCTTCTTCCTCCCCTCTGATGCAGGCATACGGTAAACAGCAAGGAGAACACGGCCATAGGAACCAGTGATGCCAATGAAAGGAAACACAAGGAACAAGGTGGTACTCACAAACACTGTGTATTCATAGACCCAGGTATCCATGCAAGCCAGAGTCAACATGGCAGGGACATCACAGAAAAAATGATTGATGGCCCTGGATCTGCAATAGGGAATACGGAGTGCATATACAGTGTGGGCACAGGAGTTGATAGATCCCATTATCCAAGATCCTGTAATCATCAAGACACAAACCTTTTTGCTCATACGAATGGGATAGTGGAGAGGGAAGCAAATGGCCACATAACGGTCATAAGCCATAGATGTCAATAGAAGTGCTTCTTCAACAGCCAAAGTCAAGAAGAAGAAACTCTGAACTCCGCATCCAATGAAGGATATTGCCTTGTTTCCAAGAAGGAAATTGGCAGCCATCTTGGGGACAATGGTAGAGATGTAATTCAGGTCCATGAGGGAAAGTTGACTAAGCAGGAAATACATTGGTGTATGAAGATGGGTGTCCAGCAGGATGAGGAGGATCATGGACAGGTTGCCAGTCAGAGCCAATAGGAAAATGAGAATAATGATAATGAAGAGGAACAGGCCAATTCTTGAAGATGGGAACAGCCCTAATAAAATGAAATCAGTTGATGTTTCATTATAATTCTCCATAGAATATTAATTGGTTTTCCTTAAAGTAAGAAACAAAAATATGGAAGGTAAATAAATATTAGGGAACCAATTTTTTTTAATAATATCTGTGATTCATCTAATTATGAGTTTTTCTGGAAATTATACAGTTGCATACTTGTATGACCAATTAAACCTTTTGTTAAAAAAGAAACACCATTCCATTACAAAGTAAGGTGTCATGCATCTGTCCAAAATCTATTGTAAAGCATCCACAAAAAAGTAAAAGAAAAATATCCTAAACCTATTTTAATACAATAAGGGTGATTATTCTAAAGATAATCACATAGCAGGAAGAATAAATGTTAAATGAAGCAGAGTGTATAAAGAATTAAACATAAATTAAAATAAATAAGTGACTGAATTGCTATATGAAAAAAATTAGTGGCACAAAGATGATTTTCACATTGATGTTTCACATTGATGTTTATAATCTTTACTTTTACCTTAAAACATATGTGAGTTACTGCAACACCTTTTTTTTTAAAAAAATTAGAAGTTAGATTTACTTCTTGAAGTCTGTGTGCTCAATATTATTTTCTAAGTTTTAGTTATCAATATTTAGCTTTGGCTAATCAATATAAAGTGCTTATTTCCTAATATTGCCAAGTACTAAGTTATAATCTTGATTTTTAAATTCCTCTATTAATCACACTTTTCAACCTCCTAACTGAATAGCTAAATAGTCAGTATAGGATAGACTGTTTGTTAGACTTTCAATTGTTTATTTTGCTTCTTAAAAAAAAAACAAACAAACAAACAAAAAACCTCACTACCATGCATAGAAACCTCTATTGGATTCCCAAGTCTTTAAATCATTCTGGAAGCAGAATGACTCATTTTATTTCCATGAAGGGGCTGATGAGCTCACATGACTGACCCTTTGGTTATCAGCCAAATGATTTACTCACTACCCTGCCAGTGCTCTTTGCTACTCTACATAAACATCCCCAAACATCAGAGTAAATTTTGAAATGTTCTAAGGTCCCATTTCTGCTTCTCTCTCTCTCTCTCTCTCTGCTTATGATTTAAAAAAAAAAAAAAAAAGTCTTA